CAATATTATTTTAATAGATTTAAGTCTATAATTGTAAAGGTGATATCGTATATTTATGATTTGTATTAGCATTATTATTTAGGCAATTTATTGTATTTTATTTAAATGCGTTGTAATCAGTATTTAGTTTGTTTATTTATTATTTTCAGAGAATCGCATTGTTGTATCACATTGATATATTATTCCATGAATGAGAATAAAGAAAAGTGTTGAAATCTGCGCATTCTTGGCTATTTTTAACGGAAAACATCTACACAAATGATGAAAAAATGCCTTATTTAGGCCCCAAACACTTGTTTTTGTTTGAGAAATGTTGTTAAAAAAAGTGACCTCTTTTTCGGCGCGGCCCCCAGCCAAAAGATACATCAGGGGGTTGCCAGAAGGGGGATGTTCCTCCTTCTGTTTGGGGGGGGGGTTTGAAGGGGGGCGGGTTCCCCCTCATCGCCAAGAAAATTTTGGACTTGTGAGAGGCTGTAAATGACCCCAGATTGATCATAAGGTAACGTGTAACCAACGCTGAAAAGCATTTGACTCTATCTCAATCCATTGAGAAGTTGCAGCACTTTGAACTCAATTTTGATGGAAAAAATCAACGCAAAATAGTGATTTTTGGCAATTTTGAGATGTCCCCTCGTTGCCATGGTAACAGAAAATTAAAGCCTGAGCATGTTGTTGCAAGGGCAATGGTCCAGTTAACATTTGTGCCAAGCTTGATTAGTGTTGAAGCAGTGTTTATAGTATTATAGAAATTTGAACTTGTAATGGGAGACTTTTCAATGAAAACAGCCATTTTTCACAAAATGCTCATGAAGTAATGGGTTAATGAAAAAAATAAAAAAATCTACAAAACAACAATTTTTCTTCAAATTTATATGACAGACCATGTTTAAACATGAAAAAACGCGATTAAGGGTAATTTCAAGTATTTTCATCATTTTCTGTTAACCCATTACTTCATATACACGCCTTTTAACGCCTTTTTCACCCCCCCCCACTTTTTGTTGTCTCAAATGATGAAAAAATGCCTTATTTAGGCCCCAAACACTTGTTTTTGTTTGAGAAATGTTGTTAAAAAAGTGACCTCTTTTTCGGCGCGGCCCCCAGCCAAAAGATACATCAGGGGGTTGCCAGAAGGGGCATGTTCCCCCTTCTGTTTGGGGGGGGGGTTTGAAGGGGGGCGGAGTCCCCCTCATCGCCAAGAAAATTTTGGACTTGTGAGAGGCTGTAAATGACCCCAGATTGATCATAAGGTAACGTGTAACCAACGCTGAAAAGCATTTGACTCTATCTCAATCCATTGAGAAGTTGCAGCACTTTGAACTCAATTTTGATGGAAAAAATCAACGCAAAATAGTGATTTTTGGCAATTTTGAGATGTCCCCTCGTTGCCATGGTAACAGAAAATTAAAGCCTGAGCATGTTGTTGCAAGGGCAATGGTCCAGTCAACATTTGTGCCAAGTTTGATTAGTGTTGAAGCAGTTTTTATAGTATTATAGAAATTTGAACTTGTAACGGGAGACTTTTCAATGAAAACAGCCATTTTTCACAAAATGCTCATGAAGTAATGGGTTAATGAAAAAAATAAAAAAATCTACAAAACAACAATTTTTCTTCAAATTTATATGACAGACCATGTTTAAACATGAAAAAACGCGATTAAGGGTAATTTCAAGTATTTTCATCATTTTCTGTTAACCCATTACTTCATATACACGCCTTTTAACGCCTTTTTCACCCCCCCCCCTTTTTGTTGTCTCAAATGATGAAAAAATGCCTTATTTAGGCCCCAAACACTTGTTTTTGTTTGAGAAATGTTGTTAAAAAAGTGACCTCTTTTTCGGCGCGGCCCCCAGCCAAAAGATACATCAGGGGGTTGCCAGAAGGGGGATGTGCCCCCTTCTGTTTGGGGGGTTTGAAGGGGGCGGAGTCCCCCTCATCGCCAAGAAAATTTTGGACTTGTGAGAGGCTGTAAATGACCCCAGATTGATCATAAGGTAACGTGTAACCAACGCTGAAAAGCATTTGACTCTATCTCAATCCATTGAGAAGTTGCAGCACTTTGAACTCAATTTTGATGGAAAAAATCAACGCAAAATAGTGATTTTTGGCAATTTTGAGATGTCCCCTCGTTGCCATGGTAACAGAAAATTAAAGCCTGAGCATGTTGTTGCAAGGGCAATGGTCCAGTCAACATTTGTGCCAAGTTTGATTAGTGTTGAAGCAGTTTTTATAGTATTATAGAAATTTGAACTTGTAACGGGAGACTTTTCAATGAAAACAGCCATTTTTCACAAAATGCTCATGAAGTAATGGGTTAAATCGCTAGTTTTAAGCTGTTTTGGGAACTACTTGTTGTTAGGTTTGTCGGGAAATTCTGTGTCAGAGATTGAATGCCAGCTATGTATTTACTGACCTTCGGTCAGAAAGTACAAAAATAAAAAAGGCCTAATGACCTTTCCTTGGGAGACAATTTAAAAGTTAAATGTATTAACAGTAAGTTTATAATTCTTACATTTATACTGATGTTATTGCAAAGAGTTTTGGAAATCTTCAACCGAAACATTTAAAATAGCAGTGTGGTGTAAATAATTGTGCTTTTGGATGACAACATACGGAAATGGGGTGGGGGATGACGTCTGGATCTGGAAAGTAAAACACGGAGACGGGCGGCGTTTAAATTTGGATTTGGGAACGTCAAAGAGCGAATATTAGATGACAACACATATATGAATGTTTGAAATAGTAAAAGTGAATTAATTTATACTTAAAAATAAAAGATTGAGAAATATAAATGAAATAAAATGCGTATTTTTATTTTCCGTATTTTCACAGTAAAACTTTATTTTCCACTGCAGTGAAACATTTTGTCCGTATTTCCACTGGTGTTCTGCCGGGTTTCTTTCTTCTAAATTCAGCCAATACACAAAATTAAAAAGGAATGCCTCCTATACATAAGGATAAAAAAGAGAAAAAGTATATAATAAACAGAAAGTTATTATTTTTTTCTATTAATACAGGATTAATTTTCATCTTGTGGTATGAAAATTATCATATTTCATACCACTCGATGAAAATAAATTCTGTATTGATATAAAATTGAATATCATCTATGAATTATGTTCACTGACATATAAGTGTCTTGATTCGAGTGATTTATATTCTAAAAAGATATATAATTCAATTGAATAAAACAAAAAAGACAAATAATATGTTAATCTAGAACGACTCATGATAGCATATTAGGTTGTACAGTGCAACCTTCACACAATGACCCCCTCTCTACTGCAATTACCTCTTTACAACGACTGTTTTAATTCTCCCAAAGTAAGACTTTGCTCTAAAATTAACCTCTCTTGAGCAAGACCTCTAAAACAATCTTTGTCTTTCTTTAACAAAGGGTGTTACTCTGCAGAAATTGTACTGTAAAAATCAATTTTAGAAATACATACGAAGCATGTCGTGGACAACCATAGGAAACAGAACATGTAACAATTGAATAATATCATTAATGATAAATGTTTGAATCACAGTACTTAATTCGCGTGACCGAGAGAGGATGAGTATTGTGCCAGATAGTGGTAATTGAGAAAGATTTATTTATGATTTTACTCGGACTTATTTCCTCGTATACAGTTACTTGAGTAAGACAATAATAATCTACTTAAATTCGAAAATTGTCATCCATTAGTACTCTGAGTACTTTGATTATACCTGATACATGTTTATTATAAAGTTTATAATATTTCAAATAATAATTTTTAGACTTATCTCGGTGAACCTTTTTTGATTTATTGAGCTGTATGCAGAATAGATATAAATATTATATGAAAATTGACCCAGCTTACATTCAGACTGTCAAACTGTGACTAGTTTTCGTTACTGTAAGCCATTTTTGACATCCATTGAAGAAGATGGTTATATTTCATAAGTAGGAGCTACTTATGAGTAAACGAGAGGAAAACCATTTATTTTGCTTACCAATCAAAGTCGTATGCCATAATACATATTATTACCTGATACCTTATATAAATTTAATTTGGTATTTTTTACTGTTTTCTGAAATTCTATAAACGTCAACGTTCGCGAGCTGTTGACCGGTCAATTGTTTTGACTGTTTCCCTCGCGCGTTCTGACGTCATTGACGTCATAGAGGATCCAACTTGAAGCGTCCATCGATCTTGATCATGAACCAGACGTGACATAAAGTATTAAGTTTAATTATGAACATATGTGCAAAACTATTTTCTTGTTCCTTTTTTCTTCTGCAAGTACTGTTAAAACACTAATTGATCAGGTAATAAAACAGTTATTTCACATGTGATTTTGGGTACAGTCAAACAGTTGTCCCTCGGTGTCGGGAAAGTGTTTTTAACTGTTGCCCTCGGCCTACGGCCTTGGGCAACAGTTCAAAACACTACCCCCTCCACCTCGGGCCAACAGTTTGACTGTTCCCAAATTACATATGAAATAACTGTATACTGATGAATAGCCAGCAAGCCAGAGAAAATCCCGTCCCATATCTAAACAATTTAATGATAACAAATAAATCATATATATCTTAAAACTAAAACGTCACAATAACAATAACAACAACAAAAACAACAACGACGACAAAAACAAAACAAAAACAACACCAACAGCAGCATAATCCAAGACAAATCAACATCAACAAGTATGCTTTTTTTCCATATACATGTACTGTGTTTCTAAATCAAACTTAAGAAAAAAGCTGTTGACATTCTTTAAACGTATGCACTTGCATTAAATATTGTACTATCAGCTGTTTTAATAGGTGAGTACATGATGCAAAATTGCATGGTTCAACGACTTCAATACCCTACCACAAGAATCAACATGAAGCAGAAGAACTAGTATGCGCATATAAAGTTAAAATATCTGATGACATTGCGAAACTGTCGCCCAAAATTAACTATTTTTCACGATTTGAAATACCTTTGTTGATAAGGAATGGTTGAAACCTTGAAGTCAAGTGTTCTAATTTGATAACATAGAAAATTTAAACATCAGATGACATTAGTTTCAAAACCGGGTCATGGAGCGGATCGTATTCTGTATCGTTGCTTTGTTTGTCGTCTGCTACGCGCAGGTTCCAACTCCTTGCCGTAAGTTATACATTTCTCATTTAATATTAAAATTACCACCAGGGCTTGTTTAATATTTAAATGTTGTTTGAATCTTTATTGTTTTTATATTGTTTGTACGTCTGTTAGTATGATTGCGTTGATGCTATACAGACGATATTTTCAGGTTAAAGACTAATGAACTAGATTAATCTAGAATCATACTTTATGCGTTCTAGTTTTTATGATTTTGATTTGTTTTTGAATAACAAAAATCTAGTTCATTTGACTGTAAGCTTGAAGTATTTGAAATTCTACTCGAGGTTTAAGAGACGAGATAAAATTTCCTTACAGCAGACCTGTCTGTAATTATCTATTTTAAAACAAAAATAATATTGAAAACGATATGCTTTTCGACCAAATTTCATGCCACAAACTGCACTAAACTGGTACTAAAATGTTAGGAGTGTTATGTGTCCTACTTGAAGAATAAACAGGTGCTTATAAGGAAATGGAGGATTTACTGTAATTATTATTACATGTGTATTATTATATATACGAGTATATTATAAGAAAAACATATCTTTTATATCATTTTTACAGAGTCCCCAAAACAATGGGAGGGCGATATGGTGTTGGTAAGATTTTCGTTCAATATTTTTTTCTAAACAGTAACGCATAAATATGTATAGTAATGTTTTTTATCTGAAATACATTGTATAGTAATGTTTTTATCTGAAATACATTGTTTATGAATGCGTTGTTCTGAAATACATTGTATATAACGCTTTGAAATGAAGTACATTGTATAATAATGCTTTGATCTGAAATAAATGGTATATAAATGCTTTGATCTGAAAAACTCGTACATTGTATATAAACAGGTAGTTACCATTTTACATACATACAATCATCTTAATTAACACGTGCTTTTTGGCTTTTCACCTATACATTATTTACCATAGAGCCTGCTATAAGTAATGAGTTATAATGTTTTTTTTTAAGTTCGATGCGAGCAAGGATTTTACAGAGAAGTCCCGTATAATATATGACGAGACAAACATGCGAGAAAGAACCATTGAAGAAATTGAAGTTGGCAAGGAAAGGGATTATTATGAAGTTCTCAGATTGTTCAACGAGGTAAATTTTAAGAGATACGATGCTATATTTAAAACAATAAGATTACGTTGAAGTTTGATACTTGAAACTTTACAAGCTTTCTTGTAATAACAAACTGACAATGAAGAAAAAACTGTTTACGGAAAATATTTTAGTATATTATATACTGATTTTGATACAGATTTTCATGAAATCTTTGATAAGAACAGGACAGTTTTATCACATTTTAATGTTACACCCGTAATAATCTTCAATAATCACCATTATCAAAATATAAAAGATTACACAATGCATTTACAAACTACTCCTTTTCTATGTAATAAGAATTACTTATTGTTAAATTTCCTTCATTGACATAGAGAAAGGAATACAGACTTAACCTCCGCACGAAGAAGTGTAATGTAACCACTATCATGTACCCATTCAGAGTGAGGGGTGTTCCCAGTGATGCCAAATTTCTGTTTGAAGGGGTTATTGGAGCATCAAGCATACCATATGAACACTTCACAGCCGTAACATTTGGTGGTGAATACACGACAGATCATGGTAAGTTTTTACGATATCTGATTAACCCTATCTCTATTGGAATGGTGTCATAGATTAAACCTAAACAATTCATTTGATTTCTAAAGGTATCAATGTAAAATCCAAAAACATATGTGCAGTCTGGTCATGCCTTATACTAGTACCAAATGCCTTCATCAGTTTGAGCAGGCTCTGGGTTGAAATAAAATACTGAAATTTTCAATTCTTTTTCATTATATAATGTTTGAAAGATATGTCTGTTCTCGTACCAGATGTTGTTATTTCGTCATCTTCGGAATGACAAAAAAAAAAACAACAAAAACAACAGCAACCCCCCCCCCCCCCAAAAAAAAAAGAAAAAAAAAAGGAAATTCTTTGTAACAATATAATTATAACATGACTATAAATTATCTTTCTTCACTCTGCTATCAGTTTGTGTTTAGAAGTTTAGGGGCATAACATAGGACATTGGTTTCAGTTGTTTATATTTTTTCTTCTTTTAGTTAAATACGCAACCACAGTAACCTTCCCTGACTGCATTCCTGTTGCTGATAACTATTACAATGACGTCACAAGCTACGTTGAATCAAGGTAAGTTTGTCATATCTTAAAATTGCATTTTTAGGAGCAAAGCACTAGACCCTTATTTAACTGAATTTTAATCAAATGATTAACCTTACCTTGATGATGATTCGATCGTTAAAACTGTTTATTATCTTAAAATACATACATTGTATTTGACTTTGGTTAGAGTTGACGATAATAAAATAACAACTGTAAGTGAGACAAGCAATTATTTTTTGAAAATTGAATTTTTATCTCTTTCAGATATTTTGATATTCACGCTGGAATTACAGACCCGATGGCGTTCATACCACCAACAGAATGCGCATAATATAAAAACAACGACACATTTTTGTACAGTTTTAATACATGTAATCTATTAAAATTTATATAGCACTGTACCTCAAACTTATGTCCACTTTTGTAGCATTGTGATCAGAATAAATACAAAAACAGTGAAAGTTATTTTTCGTTTTTATATTATTTGTTCAATCTTTATTAAAATACAAAACCATCTTTGAAAGAAAGATTTCACTGATACAGAATTTATAAACCAATATCTATGCCCATGATACATGTCTCAAAATTAAAATAAATATCTACAAGAAAATAAATGGTACTCGGATATTCTGGACCCAAACTACGGTATGGGCTACAAACTTAAAGTGACAGTTAATTACGTAAATAAGAATAAACATTGTCGAAATTTGTAAACAAGTGATAAGGACATTTTATCTATACCAAAAAATGCCCATTAGAATCTGAAATCCTTCAATTATTTCTGGATTGAAGGGCTCTAGTCATCATATACATGGCCTCCTATGATCATATATTTCAGTATTTGAACATATTTGATATATTTCTAACAGTTTTTGCTTTTAAGTTTATGCTGCCAATGCATTCATCTGAAAGCTAATCTCAGTATTTAATTAACTAAAAAATAATCAAGTTTGGGACGTGATTAAGATGAACAGCACGGTATGAACCCCTCTGAGGGTGTATCTAAATTTCAACATAATTGTTTCTGCTTATGCCGTTGCTAGGAGGCTTGGACGGTAGCTTGCATTTACCACTTCCGTCTACGAACAGAATAAATCAAACTGAACCTGCAACAATTTCATTTTGTATAGTTTTTGGACGTTTTTAGGAAACTATGTTATCCTATTTTATATCTTACTTGCTCGAGCTAGTTTTACAATATCATAATCATAACTTTTTTAAATCAATAAAATGTATTATCACCAAAACAATAAGTATTTACACAAATGTTTTACCCATTTTATGATAATGCATTTGATATTGTTTTAATACAATGTAATACATTTATATTTATAAAGATGTATTTAGATATATGAAGGCCAGTTTAGAGGCAAATAAGCATCAATTCTATTGAAGTGCGAGTATTATTTTGACGGACAGACTCAATCAAACCGAGCCTGCAGCTCTTTAAATTTCCTATAAAGTTACTTTTTTCACTTCTGTTTAGTCACGCGACTGCTTCCTACATAGCATAACAACAGCGATGTCCCAGTGAAGGACCCCATCCACAATATAGTAAGATACTAAATGCCTTCGTGGTTTGCATTGGATGATCAGTCCAGTGAAAGTATATAATTGAGCCGCGCCATGCGTTTGCGACCAGCATGGATCCAGACCAGCCTGCATATCCGCGCAGTCTGATCAGGATCCATGCTGTTCGCTATCAGTTTCTCTACTTGTTATAGGGTTTGTAAGCGAACAGCATGGATCCTAATCAGACTTTGCGGATGCGCAGACTGGTCTGGATCCATGCAGGTCGCAAACCCATTATGATATAGAAACTTCTAAATAATATATTTATGACATTGCATCCATGGAAATGCATGAGAATATCATCATGTTTCATATTCTAATACTACGACATCATCATCATCCACCTGATGCATAAAGAAGGGCTAAACGATGGTATAGTATTCTCTAATTGAGAAAACGACCAAAACGTGCCTCTATAACTTTTTAAATCACTTTGGATTTGTGCTCTGAAAACAGCAAGTTTTGTTTCGACAAAGGGTATCAAATCTGTTTTGTATAAGCTATTCATGGTCGGCGGGGCATACATGTGAGCGTCAACATTATACTCAGTATCCTGCATTTTGTTTAAACCGTTAGGATCCGACACATTGGTGTTGAGCTTCACACATGGTGATAGTATTTCAATCAATTCTTTGTATCATAGTTTGGAGACCTTTCTGTTGAAAATGTGTCAGGGTTAAATCGTATACATATACATGCACCGTGCGTTAACTGGAGTGCGGGTATTAGTTACCCGCACTCCAGAGCATGCCCATTGATTGGCTCATTTTTACACTGGGGTTTACATATTGTGACGACAGAGAAAGGGAAAGCGACAGAAATGTCATATTCAGATATTCGTTCATTGGTTCATTTTTGCCGGGGTTTCATATTGTGACAACAGGGAACGTGCTTTTATGTTTGACTATGATACAAAAGAGAAAGAACACCAAAACACTCGACAATCTGATTAATACGCGGGGGCTACGCCCCCTCGTACAAATCAGATAGCCTCGTGTTTCGGTGCTCTTTCTATTACATATAGTATATGTATCCATGGCTTTAGCTGTCCATTTTGTTATCATGTGATATTAAATTATCCGTTTTAATGCCATAGGGCAGGCGGTGCACGGGTAGAAATGGACAAATTTTGTTGACTGTATATGTCGCCGTTAAGAAAATGGCGAAAATATAAATGAGTCAAAATAAATAAAATGTTTATTTTTTATTAATATACTATTTTAAGTATAAACACAAAATAATGCATATTAAATGAATATTATTAACAAATTGATATTGATATTTATTTTGTGTTACACTCTTGTGGTGGGATAAATGCCATTGGATCAGAAATACCGAGGCTGATGTCAAAGAAACTGAAATAGAAAAATGCGAATGCATCAGACATAAACATGATAACTTACCAAATACTAAAACATGGGTCTTTGTTTTATGAAAACATAAATCATTATTTTAATATGCAACTTATTTTAATTTCGTTGATACGTATTACATCAACATATTTTTATAGGTTATGCGAGACATATAGGACGCCCAAATGTAAAATTATTATAGATTCACATTCAAGACTAATCTACGTGCTTCTCTTCTTTGAAAGATCAAAGTAATTTTGATGTTGAATTGTGAACAAAGAAAGTAATTTATACATTGCAAACAGCACTTACATTTCACGTAAATTACTAAACCGATGTCAAAATATGCAAAATACCCCTTACTGCGTTAGTAGAAATATGGTAATAAATACTGCAAAATCAGTCACTAATCGCACAAAGAATTTTATAACTGCTTAAATCTTGACTCTATTTTTCCTCAAAATCTTCCTCTAAAGTTTGATATTCTTGAGATATTTTTGCTCTCCTGGAGGCATGCAGCTTTAAGAAATGTGACAGGTAATAAAAGAGTAATACCGGTAGGTGATAATCGGCCCGCATAATGGATAAAAGTCTCAAGGGCTTCAGTCTGAGGGCATTATTCATTTCAGTAATATCTTTAGTAACAATTGTATTAAATAGTTTTACTTACTCGGATTGAACGAAACCAGTATCGTTAGAGTAAAATCCTGAGTTAAGTGGTACACAGTCTGGGTATGTAACAGTTGTAATGAATCGTGCTGTAATTATATAAAAAATTAAGACATTTTTTTGAATATCTGATAGTAACGTTTAGTTAATAACGTTTAGTTTTGATTAATTTGTATTTGATCTGAAATATTTAAAATAACGAAACAGCAAGAACCTTTGTAAATAAATTATGAATATGGACAGATGTAACTGACTTGTCTAATTTCTTTTATAGATTGCTGAGTGATATCTTCTTTGTACACTGTTTCCTATTGAAACTTATACTTTCAATTTGAGGAAAGTAAAGAAAATAAAATCATGAAAAGTTTGATGTAATGATAATTACATTTGTCCTCGAATTCACCATCCCAGGTTTGAGCAATGAGGGACTCTCCAGGAACACCAGCTGCGCCGACCTCGGCTTCGAACAAGAATTTAGCAAATGGTGGGACTCCAAAAGGTCTGAATGGTCTCGTCAACATAGTAACGTTACACTGTTTGGTCTTGAAGTTGAATTTGTATTCTCTATTCTAAAAAAGGAATTGTTTGAATAAATTATTATTTTGTGACATATCAAAAGGTTTCGGTTGTTGTGTTGGCATAGACGGATACTTAAAAAAAACTATCAAAGAGATGGTTTATCTTAAGAATAACATCATAACATGTATACATGAGCCTACTAAAATGACAGAAACAATTGTGCTTGTACTTAAATCGTCTGCATTGTAGTTATCGTGTACATGACCACTGATAACGAATTGCGCGTGAATCTCGTCTATTTACAGAGACATTCGCATGTGACTTTTCACAGATAAATGTTAAAAAAGAGAAAAACAAAAACAGAATACTAGTACTTAGAGAACGCCAAAAAGGGCAGAATTGTTGCAAGCTTGGTTTGATTGAGCCTGCTCACAAACAGTACTGTTGTATGCAACCCCATCGCCCACCAGCACTTGCTTAAGCAAAGAATGTTTGAATACATAAATAGTGGCATGTTTGAACCTGTTTGCAAATATGATGAAATATATAGATTCTTTATGGAAACTTACGATGTTATGAAGGTAAAGGGTGTCGTAGTAATCTCTGGTCGTGCCAATTTCTACCTCCTCAATAATTCTTACTCTTCTGTTGGTTTCGTCATAGCTCACCCTGCCAATCTCGGCAAAGTCTTTCGATCTGTCGCTCTAAAAATTATGTTTAGACAATGATTATATCAAAGATCTCAAATGTTTATAAAACGTTTACATGGATGATGAGTAAAATAACAGTGTTGTTACGAATAGAGTTGAAAAGGAAATTGCCTAGTATTTAATTGTTACACATTGATATATCATGCAATTTTAAGAAAAATTAACTAACTTATTAAATTGAAGATACCTCTTTATTTATAGAACAAACATGCAAAGCTATTAATGTACTTTTACAAAATGTATGAATATACCGACTGAAAACAGAACTAAATTAATTTAAAAGCAAATACCCTGTATATGCGCCCCTCCCATTGCTCAGGTGACTCTAAAAAACACAAAAAGTTACTGGTTATAGAAAAAAACACATTTGATACATACATGACATTTGTAGATAAGATAAATGAAGATTAAGACAATGTTAACACGCAAAAATGTTCTCCATCCGGTTTAACTGAACAAATCTCAACAAGCGTTGTTATATTCAACAGTTTTCAATCTTATCAATATAAACTTAATATGCAAAGAAAAGGAAGAATAACAAGATTGCATTTAAACAACAATCCACTAAATAATCATATTTTCTATTCAGCATAAATTCAAATACATAAAACAAAACAATAAAAAAGCTTTGCATAGCCATATCTCTATACTTGAATATATGATAATAAAAAAGCGAAAAGAAACAGATTAAACATTGGAAGAAAAAAACAAAACAAAAAAACAAACGTAACGCGAAAAACGCCTCTACACAACATGTATAAGTTAGCATAGATATCAAATACACTGATGCTACTGTAATTCTAAAATAATTAACAGTTTTAAAATGATCAGAGTTCCAAAAGAATATATAATAAAATATTAAGAGACTTACTGCATGGTACGGGTTGCTGGGCGGCGCAGTATACGGCCAAACAGAGAAGAGCTAGAACCGTCCTCATTGTACAATGTTATTAGATAGACAAGTTCTTAAACTTGCACCTTCTTTATATATGGCCTAAATAGGTTATCATCGACCCCCGGCTTATCTCAAATGCCTCAACGAGCGAACATTTTATAAATCCGGGACGTGAGACGTTATTATAATCAGTATGCGGTCGTTGCAATAAAGAAAACTCCCCGTTCTCTTGTATTTTTTTAAATCTTTTTTCTCTTTTTAAAATTTATAGACATTATGTCGTAATGCATACAATTACATAGACAAAACGTTTGCATCTGTACTTACACGACTAAATGAATTACATACTTTCTTCGGAAACGGGCCAATTAAAGAATACACGAAGTCCAAAGGGGTTATTTTGAAGGAAAACGCTGCTTTCAAATATTTATGTAATCATATTGAACATTGAATTTGTAATTTGATGAACTAATATCAACATGCATTTATATGTTACAATATAGCTGTGCAGAAATACATACACATTGTATATAGTTCAAACTTGAGTTAACCTTAACTTTCATTTTCAGTTTCAAATATTTTACGAGAAAATAGTACACATATAAAGAGTAATGCAAAACAATTAAAGCAAGACTGAAAAATATTTAAAAGCCATTTTATATGCAAATCAAGCATTTTGGACTACCGGAAATTTGTTTCTACCCGAAACAAACCGAGATAAGGTACATTGGTACTTATGTCACTGAATCTTGCACAATATTTTCAACGCAAAATAAGTTTGTATGAAACGCTGACTAGGTAGGTGATTATATATCATCTGTAAATATTTAGGACAATCAGTACCCTTAAAATGAGTCCACAATCTTGTCCAAAGAGTGGCAAGTTCCTTCGTTTCTATATTCATAGATAACTGACCTAATTTAGTTCAAACACTTCAAATCTAAAATTTTAAATCACTAAGATGAAATAAAATTTGATAACAAAATCTGGCCATTTATCCAACTTGTATTGATTCACATATGAAATTGTAAATGTAGTACTTTTAAGAGGGTAAAAGTTCAACTGTCTGTATCGCAAAATTTGTTATGATGTGTGAGATGAAGTTCACTAAATATAACACTATAACATGCAGAATCGTACTCAAATTGGAGTGAAAAAGTAATACTATGTGATATTTTTTTAAATGAACACATGCCTAATTCTAATTATCCCTGACATTGAACCATTTCATTTGAAAATGGACGCGTGCACTTTTTTCATGATGTACTCTGAAGTACCTCATTCTTTCCCATGCAGATAAATGGGAATTTCAAAATGATTTCTAGTACATCATCTTTAAGATATAAAAGGGGTCAAAGTCGTGAAACGATTTTAAAAAAAGTCTCATTACTTCGGTATTGACATGACGTGAGTTCACACGAATGGCAAAAGTGAAGCGATAAACAGTAGAAAATGTAAAATCGTGTCAAACTGTTTATGAAATTAGTCCTGTTAAACTGCTTTCTGAGCCTTTGAGTGTACGCATTTACGTGTCATATCAAAATAACAATGTTTGTTATTTTAATTAAAACAACGGTTTATTTGTAAATACACTCAATGTTGGATATTACGCCATCGCCACTTGCAAAATGCTCCCAATCAGACATTTTTTGTTTAACATCCCTTCGACTCGAAAATAGAATATGATTATTTTATTGTAAAAAAATCGTTAGAACATCCAAAGATAATGTAGCGTACAAAAGATTGGCTTGATATAATTGTTTATAGTTTTATTGCCTTGTTTAGTCCTGAAAACGGCATAAAGTTTGTATTCCTAAATGCTCACGCTCGCACTCCCAAATTTTTCCCGTTTTCAGGCTTAAACCGGACAGTAAAACTTTAAACTTTTTTTTACAATTATATCAAGTACTTAAGTCAATCTCTGATGCGCTACATTATGTTTTGATATTCTAACGATTTCCTAGAATAAAAACATTTTTTTCATCCTCGAGTCGACGGGATTACTGTCCAATTAAGACCATTTTGCAGGTGTGCGCGATGACTTAGTATCCTACCATTGTTTACTGCGAACATGGATGTACACAATAAAAGTATAGCAAAACTTATTTGCGCAATGCAAAATTAATGGCATGTTCACAACTGTAACAATGGATACTAACCAACTATAATTATTGCTTGAATTTTCTTTTTTTTTCTTTTCTTTTTTGACAAATGTTTACATTTATGGCATAAAGGAACGCCCGTTTCTCGTAATAGGTTCATTCATACACGACTTGACGGGTTCTCGGAGTTATGTAATTTTGTTAAGATGTCTGATTTAATCACCTCAATCTCTTGGAATAGCGGTGATGGATAAACGCTGAATGTTTCAAATTATTGAACGGCCCATTGTGCTTCAGAAATTATTTTATTCGCAAAAGCTTTTTTATTTTTGGTTTACTTTTATGGTTTCAAAGAATTTGCTAAATGATTAATTACATGAATAATCCGTTGCATTTTGGCAATTTGTAAAGTTACATGTATAGTGCTTTAAATTTAGTGTTCTGTATGGAAGTCAAAATACTACTTGTTTACATTTTACTACTGTCATGATATTGATTTCATAAGAGCTTTTTTTTCTTCAGGTAATAAACATATGACAAACTTCAAACGTTATATAATGCCCATGTTTGCACTTTCTAAAGTAATAAAAATAAATTATTTCTCAGGCATAATATGCCTGTAAGGAAAAAAACGTTTTGTATGTTTTGCGTTGAACGTGAATTGCAATGCTAATACATGTACCATTTTGATTTTATCAAACATCAGGTTTCGAATAACTAACAGACAATATGTTTTGTTCCCAAAGCAGCAAAAGAAATATCTTCAATATTGTTGTATTTTCTTATAATACATATTCATCAATTAAGCAAAAAAGTTAATCCTTCTAGTCCTTCATCAAAATATTCCAATGATATTTTGAAATGCAATTCACGAACTTGTCCTAAATTTTTATGGAATTTTTAAGAACAACGTAAGCATTTTTACTTAGGATTAATCAAAATTTGTTTTGCTGATAAGATCTTGTATGCAAGTTTTGTTATCGTATGCTATTTGTTTGTATTGCCAATATCACTTGAGCTTGTTTGCACATTGCTTTAAATGAAACTTTGGTGGCCAGATAGCGTGTTGTATAACCAGAGGTCATATGTACCACGGGGCCACGTGGCATATAAAAACGCTGACCTGTTTTTAGAAGTCGTCTGTTGGGCAACTGTCGTCTGCGATAGAACAAGCAGCCATGTTTAAAATCGCTCTATTGTTGGGTTTCGCAGCGGTTAGCTGGGCTCAAGTCCCTGTACCGTGTGGTAAGTGAAGTTTATTGCAAAACATTTTATCTATTTTTCATAATTACACTGTTTTATTTTATTTATGAAAATTTGAGGTAAATAAATCGGAAAATAACAGTATTTTAAGTTGTAGAAATCGTCAAATATCTCATGCATTCTTACATTATCCCACAACATGTATTGTTAATGTCAATATGAAAATTAATCAAATTATCGATTCTCTATGAATCAAAAGTTTAATTCTATTCATTTCTTTTTATAAATTACTGTCTTACATTATCAAAATGTATTTTATAATATCATTGATATTACTTTATAATGCTGATTTCATTTTAAACTGCAGAGTCCCCAAAACAATGGGAAGGACGCAGAGTCGCAGTAAGTGTTATTCGTAATTCTTGATATTTATACACCAGTAATTTTTTATTATCTTGTTACATATTCAATCTTTTTTGCGGAACTTCAATGAAAATGTAACGATTTATAGAAAAGTATTGTTGCTTAACAAATTCATCATTTCAAATAACTTAATCTTTTAGTAGTATATAATTTTCTTAATGATAAATGGACATTGTAAGTTTTGGTATTCATGTGTTATCCATTGAAGTGATCAGTAATTAGAGTAACTGACAAACGTAAGAATGTCAAAGTCTCTCCAAATGCTTGAAACTATTTTCGACATTTAAGACAGACGAGATGAAACAGTTCCAAGAGATTTCTAAATATAGCTATGACGCAACAAACATGCGAACAAGAGCAATAGAGGAACGCGAGGTTGGCAAAGAACGTGATTACTATGATGTCCTTCATCTTTACAAAGAAGTAAGTGTTTTTATATTTCGATAACTAAATGGCGTTCTTTATTGCAGATACATATTATTTAGCGCAATGAAAGTTTTATCAAAAATGTGATTTGATCAAAAGCCAATTAGATACATTACACATACCTATGTGCCATGGAATCGATTCAAACAGAAACAGAGTATTTGGAACATGTTTTATAAGAGCGCTTTGCATCTCATTATTATAATATTATTAATACAAATAATTTTATGTTTGTCATGAAAATGACATGCTTAGAAAGAGTTCAATACCTATGTCGTACTGTTGATAATCTCTATTTAAACATCTTGTTAAATATGACTGATGCAAGGCTACAAAAATAATACAGAAATCTGACATAAAAGCCATGATGGTATTTAGTATTTAACTGTATCTTAGAATAAACTATTTAAATAAGTATGCAGTCATAAAAAGCAAAGTGAATTTTGTCAAATCATTGTGTAATAGAAATGGTTTTAGATGTGAGTTAATCTGCCAAAAACATTTACCATTAGTAAATTGTTTGTTGAAAGATTTGTAGAGATTTAATATACCTTATTTTCTCTAATTTGTGTTTATTGGCGTCCGCGCCGAAGCGCGGCGCCCTATATGGAACGAAATCAGATTTTGTGAAAGGGCGACACCAACTTCTCGAGCCTTTTAGTCGGTCATGATAAAAGCCGATCATTCCGAGTGGTATGAGGGTGCTTGATTATTAATTAAAAATGAAATGTCCCGATATGTACAATGAATAGCGAACTGGAGAATTTCGCAAAACATTTTCAAATGAAATAACCTTTTCCGTCAATAATTAGGGCTCTTCGGCGTTTTTTTATTGATCATTTTGTAGTTCACAGTTGGTTATTCTGGTATGTTATTGTTTTACATGTATCCGAAAGCTGTAAATAGAATGATGAGTGAATGACCTAAACATTCCGAAAATCTATTTATAGAGGGATGTACTCCTATCGGTAATCCCCGGTCTCTCCCGGTCTATTTTGACCAGGATTTACAAGTGATATCACACGTTTATTGTCCGGTCTCTACAGGGTTTGAAGTAGATGTTTGATATCGTTACAGAACAGAACAAATATTTTACAGATTAATAATTTTTTTTCCAAGATGAATGTTTGTCACTTAGTTTGGTTACAATAATAAATAAACACAAATCAACTCTCAAATTTATTGATTATTATAAAACACAAACATACAATTCGAAAATTCGAAAAAAAAACAACAACAACAATTAACAATAACATGGTTCATTTTATCTATATGAGATAAAAACAATAAATATGTACAATAATTGAGAAAAAAGGTACATTTTTATGGTATTAATATGACTCTATCACTTTTCAAACATTTTATTTAATTTGTTATTCGTGTTTAGTAAAGATGCCGAGGAATTATCCAAAGTTACAAATTAGATTTTATAAATTATTCAATTGATTGATAATTTAAAAAATGATAAAGAAAAGTACAAATGTACATGTACATGGTTTAAGAATAAGCAATATTATATATTGAAAGATTAACCATAATTTACTGACTCCTTCCAGTTAAGTTTTGACTTATAATCGTCGGTCAATATGACAATTGAATTCTTAAAATTTATTTTTACAATTTTAATAAAAAAAAGAGTTGTATTAAAGTAGCACATGAAACACAAAAAAGAAAAGAAAACAATATTCATAATATCTTTAAATTTTTTTATTAAAGATATTACAATTATTGTATAATAAACAATTATGCTCAACATGATCAACATGGTAATATAACCAGTGTTATATGAACAGATATCTTAAGAGGGGTTCTTCTCTAATAGCGATAACATAATAATTACACAAGTGTGGTTGTTATCATGCGTTACACATATGGATTATAAATGATTGTATACATGTATATCCGTTGCTATTAATAATCACGATCATAAAGAAATAACAAGTAATATTCTAAATCTCTAGCATGCCAATCAAAGTTCATAATGAACAATGTCTTTCGTCCGTTCATTCATAAGTGATATACAATTCTGGTAAAAACCAATTAACCATTGAAAAGATTATAAGAATATCTTGTCATCATATGTCTACTAGTTCATCTTCACCTGCTGCATTTCTTGCTTGGACGCCCTTTGATGCTTTGCATCAATGCTTTTCTTGTCTATTTTTAGAACAAAGAATACAGACTGAACCTGAAGACCAAACAGTGCAATGTCTCTACACCTCGCCATCCATTCTTTGAAACCGGTGTACCCAAAGGTTCAAAGTTCTTGTTCGAAGCTGAAGCCGGGGCTGCACAAATACCATTGGAACACCTGACTGTACAAAACTGGGACATTACCTTTGATGATGGAGGTAAGCATTTAAACATTTGAGCCGCGTCGTGAAAAAACCAACATAATGCGTTTGCGACCAGCATGGATCCAGACAAGCCCTCTGATCAGGATCCATGCTGTTCGCTATCAGTCCCTCTATTTGTATTGAGTTTGTAAGCGAACAGCATGGATCCTGATCAGACTGTGCGGATGCGCAGGCTGGTCTGGATCCATGCTAAACGCAATCGCATGACGTTGGTTTTGTCATGACGTGGCTCATTTGATTTTTTTTTCAAGTTATGTTGTGCCTTTTTATAGGAACTTTAATTACTTTTAATTGAAATGTATCGTTCTTACGTCAACATGTTATGCAATAAGTACAACAACTTTGCGTTTGTATCATAGTTTGGGGACCTTTCTGTTGAAAAAGTGTCAGAGTTAAATCGTATACATATACATGCACAGTGCGGTAACTGGAGTGCAGGTATCAGTTACCCGCACTCCAGATAATGCCCGTTGATTGGTTCATTTTTGCTGGGGTTTACTTATTGTGACGGCAGAGAAAGGGAAAGGGGCAGAAATATCATATTCAAATGCTCGTTCATTGGTTCATTTTTTCTGGGGTTTCATATTATGACAACAGGGAACGTGCTGTCATGTTTGACTATGATACAAAAGAGAAAGAACACCAAAACACTCGGCAATCTGATTTATACTCGGGGGCTACGCCCCCTCGTACAAATCAGATAGCCTCGTGTTTCGGTGCTCTTTCTATTACTTATTTTACCACTCTCGTCATTAATGTAGACCACCCTTTGTGTTGCATTAGTAACATATTTCCAAGCATTTGTATTATTGTACCATAAGATTAGATTGGAACATAAAAAAGAAAAGATACCAATACATTTTATGTGCTTTTTTACACAAAAAAATGTTGTGTTTTTTTTCCAGCAAGATACGCTATTGCTGTGACGTCACCAGATTGTGTGCCGATATTCGCTGCTTATTACAGCAAATCATTCGGATTCTTGATAGAAAAGTGAGTCTTTACATTGTTTACCTCAGTATTAAATAAATCTAATTGATTTGTCGCAAAAGGACAACTAACTATTTCCTTACTTTACGATGCTTGATTATTTTTTACGAGCCTACGGTTTGTATGTAATTATATTGCAATGTACTCGATACACCTCCGCAAACTGTGCGTGGTAACAGTGTTCTAAGGTGTTTGGTCTAAGCTTCTATCCAAATAACAGAACATGTTTGATTGTCATTTTTTAGTTCTTCCTTTAAGTAATACATGCATATAAATTTTTTTCCAACAATTTTTCTAATTCTCATTATTTTGTTATGTTCTTATCGTTTAAATCATTGTTGCAAATATTTTTTTCTTTTGTACAGTTTCTTCGACATTCGTGGTGGAATTTCAGATCCTAGTGTTTTCGAGCCCCCAGAAGAGTGCAGGGGATTGTAAATTGTTAAAAAGTTGTATTTCTTAATCGTATATAATAAAATGTAAAAATACAGAACAAGTTATATTTACAATTATTTTTAAATTCATTTACAACAAATTATCAGGACTGATTAGATATGAATGACCAAGTAATAAAATCAAAGGGCTGCAGCTCTATGGTATTTTCTGATCTTTGCAATCTTAATCATACTGACTATCTGTATGTACTTTCCTGTATAAGTTTATTTTTATATACTATAATTCATTTTACGCAGCGACAGCGTTTTGATTTTCTTCTATAACAGTTTGAGATTGATACATATGGAATTTTGCATGAATAAAAACGAATACATTATGTAATTCTAAATTGAGAATTTCCATTTCGTGTTTGCAATCCTTATTAATTTCGAGGTATTTTGTTCACGATAAACCTGTTGTTTAACACTGATGAAAATAATTTAGCGAAAATCTTCTCGCCAAAACAGTCCGACATGTATATATTCCACTACTCGACAGTCAGATTTATTTGTGTACTACGCTCTGGAGTATTCATTTAATCGACATAGCTAAAAATAGCATTTCCATTGATTAAAATGATATTCATGATAATCCGAAGTTTTACGGAAATAGCCGAACATTTTTCATTGGGTAAAATAGATATTCATCCGCGAAATTTGTGATTGTAACCTCATATTTCTATTGACTAATCTAAACTTTTAATGCACTGTAATTTGTAAAATGCCTACATTAAAAATTATTCTTTCTTTTAAATTGCTGGTTTTTAAGCAGTATTGAGTGAGAACTACTTTGCGTTGTTAGGACTGTAAGGAAATTTTGTGTTAGACCGTGGATGTTAGCTATGTATTTACTGATCTTACGATCAGAAAATACAAAAAATCACAACAAGACATTCGTCAAAAATCTATTGAAATATGGAAATGCAGCAAAGATACAGAAAATAACTCATTTATTTCTCTTTCGAAGACCATACAAACATACTTTTTTGCAATCTCATTCTCTCAGAAAGCCATTACTTTATCTATCAAACAAATGCATAATGATGAGGGAAATATGTTTTCGTTGACATATTATCCCTTACAACAAGCAGATTATACTGAAATTGACAAAGAATGTATGCGATCCTCCTCATTGTTAGGTTTGTCTCCATTGCAAGGTTGCCTTTAGCAAACGTTTTACTGTATTTCGGTTTGCAGGTGTATGCTTCATTTTTAGTACCGACATATAGGTAAAATGATAATTGTATAACACATGAACTTTAAACTTGAATAACATAGAATATGACTACCGAAACATTTCTAACGTACGACTGGGGGTTAACGGAGAGAAGTTTTCATTTATCTGTCTATAATTGGATGTTTTGCTATTTTCGATCCTTTCAGTATGTCTGAAAATCTTGCTTTTACTTAATTTTTTTAAAAAAATTATCCTTGGTCACAATGAAAAGTTTCATAGAATTTCCACGAAACAGTGTAGTTCCTTATTGTCAATTACGAAAAAGGACTAAAATCTTGATTAATAGGCCATTTTTATGAAGAAAATTGACAAATTTGGTAAAAAGTAAGAAATAATAATGATAAAAATAAAAAAAACCCAAAACCACTACGATTTACAGTATTCTCAACTCAAATGGAAAAGCAGAAGAAATATTGCATGATTGCCTTGATTGTGAATTATCTGCCCTTGTGTAACGTGCTCGAAGGTCTTCTTTGTTTGCTCAAAATGTTTCTGTTGTTATATATAAGATAGTGCAAAATTAAGATAAATTCTAATACATGATTTTCATTCGGCCTATGTATATGGTTATTTGAAAATGTCTACGCGTTTATTTAAAGGCTCATTACGCCCTAGAAATGAATATAATTCGAGCCGCGTCACGACAAAACCAACATAATGGGTTTGCGACCAGCATGGATCCAGACCTGCCTGCGCGTCCGCGCAGTCTGATCAGGATCCATGCTGTTCGCTATCAGTTTCTCTACATGTAATAGGGTTGGTAAGCGAACAGCATGGATCCTGATCAGACTGTGCGGATGCGCAGACTGGTCTGGATCAGTGCTGGTCGCAAACTCATTATGTTGGTTTTGTCGTGAAAGGGCAAACATGTGTTTGATAATGTTGTAAAAATGCATTTAGAACATGTGAGTTGCCTATAACCTGATGAAAAATAAAATAGCATTGAGTGTGAAACAAAAATATGTTTAAGATATCAAAATGTAATAACCATAACAGTACTAATTGCCAAAATATAAAAGAAATAAAAGAGGACTCAGATACATGTATATGACCAGTGAGTTAAAATTTGGAAACTGAAACAGGACACTAAACTTAAAATGTTTTTGAAAAATAAAAGTAAACGCATTCAAACTTCATGGGCCTTTAAGTACACCTTGCAAAAAAAATAAGATCAGAAACACTAAGCTGCTGTCTTGGTTTTTATCCCATACATCGATAAAAGTTAGTAAATAAGAAACGTGTAAGCTTTTTAAAAAAAATAAAAACATTTTAAAATACATTTAGATCACGCCACATGCAGGTTTAAAAATAGTTAACTTTGCATTGATAATAGCCCCCTTTGCGATGTCAAATAAGGCCATTATATGACCACGTCATGTCTCCTTCAAGTCCAAATAAGAATATTCACATACAAGGCGCCACACTATCTTTTAACCTTCGTCAAACGACTTTTTATCTTTACTTAAAAAACCCTCAATGTGGAAGATCTATAATAATAGGTGTACATAAGATAACGGCGTCATTTGGTTCTGGATTTCAATAGATTAGGATGAAACTTTTCGCCTGCTTAGCCTTGATTGTCGTCTGCACCGCGCAGGTGCCCCAGCGCTGCGGTAAGCAATTTTTTTTAAACATTACATATTAATATATGTATTGGTCTGCACATGGATTATAGAAATATTGGAAATGTTACGTTAGGATTTGCCTGATACATTGCATATTTTTGTTAAAATGAAATAATCCTAGATACATTAGACAGACGACATTCAGACAAGTACTGATTCTTTATAAAAAATAACAAAATTTCACATCGTTTTGTATACACAAATTACAAAATTCAACTAAAATTCAACAAAATTTGATTTTGGACATCACATTACTTTACATACAATCTTATTTCACCTTTTCTAGAAAACTTTAGCCGCCCTGAATTTTAACATGACATTGTGTATGCACCATACATGTAATTTAGCACATTTAATTACATTAAAATGGAAAGCGTTTTGCATTATTTGATGAGCATTCGTTATTTTATTTATTTTGGTGTGGGCAATTTAATCGTATAGCTAAAAATTTAGGTATCTTACAAAAGTAAATAATGTTGGTCATACATGTGTTTCTGAATAAACTGGGCAAATTTGAAAAACTGTATATGTTTTGCAACTTATAAAAGTATCAAATACATAATTTTATTACATTATCTACGAGCCGTTTTTTTGTAATACGCTACTATAATAACTTTGCAATATCATTGTTATTTTCGTGATTTAGGGTGTGAAAGAAAGAATATTATGGAACTTTTTGAATTGAACTCGTTAAATAAAATTGGTATTAAATGTTTGTTTTATCCAACATACTCTTGACACTTCAATCTTTATAATTTCTGCAATTTTACAAAACCTTTACAAAAACATCATCATCATCATCATCATCATCATCATCATCATCATCATCATCAACAACAACAAAAACAACAAAAGAAAAAAAAGAAAAAAGTAGAACACATACAGATATTTTATAAAATCAACATGCAGTGTCTTAAAAAAAATCAAATTATCCCTCAATTGAATAGATACAGTTGCTTTCGGAGTTCATATAATGCAGAATATTTAAATCTAAATATTTTGTTGTTACAGAATCACCAAAACAATGGACGGGGAGACGTGTGCGGGTAGGTTTTTCATACCTTAAAAATGTTAAATTCATTCCATGACTATTTATTTTGAATAGTCATCATAATACAAATGTTAAAACGCTAAAATTCATTTTTGATGTATTTAATATCTTTGAAATTTGAGACTTGTTTAAAGCGGCTTGCCTTCAGATTTATGCTGATTTTTATAAAATTTTCAATGAAAACGGCCATTGTTCACAATATGCTCAATAAAGTAAAACATTGTAAATTAAAATTACACATTGCAAAAGCCAAATGGCACCTACAATTCATGTAAATTACTAAAAACGGTCAAAATATGCAACAATATCAATTACTGTGTTAGTCCTGCAGTAGAAATATGGTGACAAATATTACAAAATCAGTCATTAATCGCACAAAACATGTACATTTTTCTTGAATCTTGAATCTTTTTACTTTTCTTAAAATATTAGAACATGTTCTCAAGTTTGATATTCTTGAAATATTTTGGTTCATCTGGAGGCATGCAGCTTTAAAGATATATCAATGTTTTATTAAATGAGCCGCGTCACGTCAAAACCAAAATAATCGGTTTGCGACCAGCATGGGTCCAGACCAGCCTGCGCATCCGCGCAGTCTGATCAGGATCCATGCTGTTCGCTTATAAACTGTAAAACAAGTAGAGAAACTGATAGCGAACAGCATGGATCCTGATCAGACTGCGCGGAGGCGCAGGCTGGTCTGGATCCATGCTGTTCGAAAACCCATTATGTTGGTTTTGTCGTGACACGGCTCAAATAATTAAAAACTAAGAGAGAACTCTCAGTTGATTTGACATTACATTAAGATATAACCTTAACCTGCCGGAACCGAAAGAGTTATGCTTATAGGATTAACCTTACTACATTGTTGGAGCAGTACTTCCAGACGCTTGCAGAAATCGTGAAAAACAAAATAGAAAAATATCGCCTACCGAATTTTACATCTTTTCATTTATTATCGTATACACAGCGATATGAAAAAATGATAAAGACGTATTAAAGTGCATTTCGTTGGGTAAAATGGAGAGATTTTAGCATTTAATCATTCAAGCGCCTTGTCCTGTATATACCGGAATACGGCATTTAGTGTAGTGCGTTTTTCCAAAAGCAGGGAAATTTCATGACACGAATTCAATATGTTCATTTCTA